CAAATGAGTCCAGTGCCTACTTATACTTGACTCTGTTCAACAAGCCAGACACATGAGAAAGCTCCCTAGAGCCACAATATCCAGCTCATCCATCTGGCCAGCTCTTGTGCTGTCCCTCTCAAGAAAAGGCTATTAACATATAGGCTTGACTTTACTGAGCATGGATGACCTGGTAGAATGCTAGTGTATAAAAACAACCAGAGGAACCGAAGTATTTGAGCTCTTCTCCAGTGTCTTTCTTAATTGTAGTCTGAAAAGGCAATCATTTGCTCTTGCCAGACCAGTTATATGCATTATACAGCGTACTGTACATCACTCAACCTTTTGACCTCTTCATTTAAAACATGGTTTGTCTTTTCTGTTTTACATACCAGAAGGCTTGGTGTCATAGTTGGGGTTCTCTAGAGAAACCAAACCAGTTAAGATGTACATGTTTGTGTGTTGAGGAATTGGTTCATGCAGTTTGGGCAAATTCAAAATGGTCAGGCTGTTTGTTGATTAGTTATGTGTCTTGGAGTCAGTTCTGACTCAAAGGGTTTGCAAACTGCATAGGGTTTGCGAGGCTGTAAATCTTTACGGGAGCAGAAAGCCTCATCTTTCTCCCATGGAATGGCTGGTAGTTTCGAACTGCTGACCTTGAAATTAGCAGTCCAACTCCTAACCACTACACTACCAGGGCAATCCCTATAGTATGTCGCCAAATAGGCAGGTTGGTTTCTGATGAAGAAAAGAGAATTCTAGCGAGGGTATTTATTTACAAGGAGTCCTGGTGTGGCATGGCAACGGGTTAATGAGCTGGACTCCAAGGCCACTTTGAACAGCAAGATCGGTGGTTCAAACCCACCAGCAGCTCCTTGGAAACCCTGTATAGAGCCACTGTGAGTCAGAATCGACTGGATAAACTGACTGATTCAGTGGCATCACCAACAATAACAAATCTATTTACAGTCTGGAGGGAGAACCCTCCTGTGGGCAAACCTTGGACTCATTTCTTACTTTATCGCTCTTTTGACCTGCTTTTTTCTGTATACGAGATCTGTAAAAATGTGTTGGTATTAGGGTTCCAGTTCCTACATGCATGGGTCGATCCCACAGAAAACATGTTTAAACGTTTCTGCAATCCATGGCTAGTTGCAGACAGGTTCTCCCAGCAAGACACTTGTTGTTATTGTTAAGTGCCGCAGAGTTGGTTTCCTAGCTGCTGGTGATTTTGAACTGCTGACTGAGGTTCAAACTGACCTTTTGGTTCAGTGCTTATCCTACAGCTCCACACCAGTACTCCTTAGACTTGTTGTTGAGTCAGTTCTGACCCAGAGCAGCCCTGTATAGGGATTCTGAGGAACGGCTGGTGAGCTTGAACCACTGACCTTGAGGTTCAAACTGACTCTGCAGTCCAGTGCATTAACTCACAGCACACCAGGACTCCTGGTCTTATTGGGACCTTGCTGTTGTTGTGAAGTGCCATTAAGTCGGTTCTGACCCATAGCGACCCTGTATAGGGTTTCCAAGGAGCAGCTGGTGAGCTTGAACTGCCGACCTTGCAGTTCAAACAGCTTTGCAGTCTGGCGCATTAGCCCAGTGCCACCCCAGCACTCTTCAGGGCCTTCTTAGGGGGCCTGTCTGGAATTGAGCTGGTCCACCAGATCCCAATTCAAGACAGGTAAGTTAGGGTGACTGTTTTATGGGATCTCAAAGGGTCATCTTTAGATAAGCTTTCTCAAAGGACACAGGACGATCATGGGGGCATATTAGGAAGTTTTTAAGAAATGGCAAGCTACATTGGTAAGAAAAAGACTAGGAATGTTGTCTTGTCAGGCGTTTTTTTTCCCATCACAACCCACTTCTCATTCTTCAAGGGCTATTGTTGTGAAGTGCCGTCGAGTCTGTTCCGACCCATAGAGACCCTGTGTAGGGTTTCCGAAGAATGGCTGGTGAGCTTGAACCGCCGATCTTGCAGTTCAAACAGCTTTGCAGTCTGGTGCATTAACCCATTGCACCACATTCTTCAAGGGTAGCAAGGGCCATTCTCTGAAAAATTTGAAGGGGAAACTTTATATCATGCCATCCATCCTACAGCCCTGATCAAGCCTCTTGAGTTTTTTGTTCCTAAAACTCAAAACAATATTGAAAAGGCAGTCACACCAGAGATGGACGCAGAGATGATGACGTGGAGAGATGAAGCAGCTGGGGACTTTAGACCCAGTGAGGGAGAGGGGCTGTGTGCTGACGACTGGGGGGCAGGCTTGTAGTGTATACCCTTTGGTTGGTTGATGATGCATGGAGGGGATTGTAACCATGGCAATGAAACGATATACGATAGGATGAATGTAACGCTAATGTTCTTCCATGTAAACTATCATGTAATTCACAACAAAACATTAAAAAACAACAACAAAAAAAGAATATTGAAAAGGTACATGATGTAAGTCCCCTAGGATGCCCAAAGGAGCCCTGGTAGTGTAATGGGTTACGCATTGGGCTGCTAAGTGCAGGGTTCGCAGTTTGAATCCACCAGTTGCTCCTTGTGAATCAGAACTAATTAGATGGCACACAGCTGCTGCAACAGGAAGCCAAAATTGCCATTTTGATGTAAATGGAAGTGTACAGAATTCTTTAGGGGAAGGGTTAGAGAGAGAAACACCACTTTAGATGTGTTTAGACCTAGATATGTAGTCCTGGTGTGGCACTATGGTTAATGCGCTGGACTACAAAGTTGGTTCGAACAGGAAGGTTGGCGATTCATAGCTGCTCCTTGGTTGCTATGGGTCGGAACCGACTTGAAGGGATTTAACAACAACAGACCCAGATGGAGGATATGTGGAGAAACAATAGCTTCACATTTTGATATGTGTGTAATACAGGTTTATGGTTTTATAGCATGATTTTTTGAGCAGGGAAAGACAAGGGCTTGTTTAAATTGGGACACAAAGGTGCAATTTAAAGGATATTTCTATTTATTAGCAAACCAATCAATACATGAAATTCCCCTGGAAAAAACAGAACAAAACTGAGGGGTGGCAAGCTATTCTGCCAGCAAATAATACTCTATTTATAAAATAAGACAAACTCAGAAAATTGTCAAAAATGTCATATTGAGCTTTATTTTTGGACTTGGAACATGTTTAAGTAAATCCGTTTTACATTTTTGATTTTGCATACTACAAAAAGAAATACAGCCTCCTTTTTGGAAAATCCTCATCACTGTCAGTGTATGTTCAAAGACATGTAAGTAGCAGGGTAGCACAGCATGCTTCCACAGACTGACCAGAGCAACACGGAAGCTGGAAAACGAAGATTTAGAGAAGAGACATAACTTTTCTTTCCATTTGTTACAGAACAGAGAAAAATCCAAGGAAAACAATGCTCATTTACAAATGACAAATCTAATGACAACTTAAAAATCTTTGTCTCAAATAATTTACATCAAGTACAAACGACAATTTCTTTGAAAAACAAAAGCAGAATAGTATGCCTTCGAAACCTGCTGAGTAAATCAATAAAACGAAGTGCTCCAGCTTTTCACTTGAGCACAAACATTGGCACTAATGCATTTCATTTTTATATAATTCCATTTCTGCATATGAAAATCCCAGTGAGATTCAATGGTTTGGCTTAGTCCACTGGTTTTTTCGAACAACAACAGAAAAACCAATCTAATTTCTAAATTTTATAAAGACACTCTTGCATTTGCTGCTTTAGTATAAACAGAACACAATACATTTCTTTGATATCAGTAGCAACCAGTTCCCAGTCATGTGAAGAAACTCCGAAGCTTTGTGAATGCTAGCATTAAGAAAAATTACAATACTGATGGAATTCACCCAGTCTGCCTACAAGCGCCTCAGCCTTTCCATTTCAGTCTTTGATCAACAAAAACATCATCCTCAAAAGAGTTCAAAGAATGAATAATACGCATGGTGTGACTAATTTGGGGTTAAAAAAAAACCCATGGCTCTGGGCAAAACTTACATAAATAACAATACTCACCCACAAAAAGACCATGTTTCTAAAATGCTCACAATAAGATAAAACTAAACAACTCTGGGGCAGACTTTGCACACTGACAATACTTAGCGACATCAGCGAGGCCACGGTGCAGGGTAGCAGGTGACTTGGGGATAGCACACCTTGTCTTGTCCTCCGTTCTGCTCAGAACACAAGGCGGCAATTACAGACGATGAACTCATGCACCGAAAGATGGGGAGTTTCTCTGCACGATCCTCAACAGTGATCTCGGTCCTTAGTGTTCCAATGTAAAAGGCTTCTCAGAAACAAAACTGAAGACCAAGGCTCTAGCTAGGGGAAAAAGTAGGATCAAAGTGCTCAAACAAGGCCAGCCATTTGGGGACATGTTGGCTTGTGTACACCCAGGCATGTCAAATGTTTGTACAAAGCAGTCAGTCACTGGGGTACAAAGCAAAGGGGGAATGAATCTTTGCTCCTTAACCAGCAGGAAGGGAGGAAGTAGCCAGCCTAACGATCTAATAGAACAGGTGCTCCCAAGAGGCTGGGAATTAACGGATCATCTCACCAGAGAAGCCTGCTGGTTCTTTATTGAGCACCCCAATAAATATTTAAGCACAGACTTAGAATAGTTCACGTACTTGTTGTAGTTCCCTAAAGAAAACTTGTAAACATCTGGTAAATGTCTAATGGGGTAGCATTAAAAATTGGCCAATAAATACTCAGAAAACATTTGGCCCTTCAGCACCCAAAATATAATGTTCCAACCTTTTGGCTCGAGGGATATTTCAGTAGCCTGAAAAGTTGCATACCTGAGTGGAATTAAGGTTTTCTCTCAAATCTGAAATAAGTGCAAGGAGCTTCTACACTCAGGGATTGCATATGTTTTTCTCTCTCCTCAAAAGAAAACGTTGAATGATAAAGAGGTAGCATAACTTACTAAGATTAACTGTAAAAAAAAACAAAACAAAGCTTATTTTCAATAGTCGTCCTAAAACTATCACAGATGTTTAAAATCTGCCTGTCCTGGCCTTTTTCTACCTGGTTTTAGAAGGTTCACTACTATTCTGGTCCCTTTGTTTACTGTAAGAACACTGTCGACCCCAGGTGCTCTGTGGGCCGGAGGCATCTACCGCAACATCAATAAGAGAATCTGGGATCATCCATTGCAGAAAAACAAGGAAGAGAAAGTTGAAAACTGCCAACAAAGCAAAAATACAGCCTGTTACTGGGCCGCAGTGAGAGATGAGTCGATCCAGTCGCTTGTCCATGGATAAAACAGCCTCCCTGGACACCCGGTCATACACCTGGAGGTGGGAAAGGGAGAAGACAGGAAATGAGCACTTGGAACCACTTGGGATCCACTAGCAACCCACTATTGGCCCTGGGCAAATGCTGACATCTGCTCACCAAGAGGCTTTTATAGTAGCACACAACCAAGTGGCTTACATTTTCTTGTGACTGCTGTTTTTAAATAATGACAAAATTTAATCAATGAGGTTAATCACAGTAATTCTTACAACACCTAGCACTTATTCTGGGCCCAACACTGGACCAGCCACCGTGTGAAACGAAGACGAATCAGCTCTGGTTCCTCTCCTCTAAGCGATTACCATCAACTTTCATGGACTCCTCCAATTCCAAGGAGTCCGGGTTGCTAGCCGAAAAAGGAGCAGTTTGAACCCACCAGCTCCACACATGAAAAAGCCTGTAAACATGATTGTTGTTGTTGTTAAATGCAGTCAAGTTGGTTCTGACTCACAGCAACCCTGTAGAGGTTTTGTAAGGAGCAGCTGGTGGTTTTTAAGCTGCCAACCTGGTGGTGTGCAGTCCAGGGCTTACCCTACAGTAGTTCTACTTTGTCCTATGAGGTTACAGTGAGTCAGAATCGGATTGACAGCACACAACAGTAGCAACAACTAGAATTCCAATTCTTGAGAAGTCTCAGCGGCTTTTTGGATCAGCACCTTGGTGGCAACCGGAACTCGGCAGAGCCTCCCTGAAGCAGGCTCAACCATCTAGTGCTCACGGACTGCTAAGACAGCTTACTCCTCCTGGAACTGGCAGACAGGGACCCTGAATGCGTTACAAACTCTTCATGTCAACACCCACATCAGCCCTGTCTTTGAGCTTGCTCAGGCAGTGAGAGCACGCAAAAACAGCTCATGGACTTCAAATGATTTCAAACCAAAAGAAGAGGAAAGAGATGGGGAAATGTTATTGATGGTATGGAGCAAACACAGACCTATGGTCTCAACTATTTTTTAAACAAAAATCAAAAACTTTTAAGACATAATATTTTAAATGAACAGACCAAATGGGTCAGCAATCATGTTTTTAACTTGAATTTGGAAATTATTTGTGCTCATGCTCACGTATCAGACCTGTAAATCAGACCTTTGGAACTCAATTTCTAACATGCAGTGCAAGTTCTAGAAACAAACGACTCAGAAAGGTGCAGGGGTTCCCAGTTTGTTCTTCGAACATAAGGCCATCTTGAATGCTAATCTTTTACTTAATAATATGCTGGGATGGGCAAGTTGTCATTCAGAGGGTTAATTCCAAAATGAACTCCCAATTTAATTTCTTGACCTATTTTCTAAATGGCACAGCTAAACTGAGAGAGAGAAGTTAGCTGCAATGGATCAAAATGTCCTGCGTTAAAAGGGAGAGTTAAAAACAAGAGCTATAGAATGACATGGCTGCCCATCTTTATTCCCAAAGCCCATTCATTTGTGACCTTAAGTGATAAAATGATAGTCTATTACTATGAAGACAGAAGTCACGTGGTGCTGTAGGCTAAGCACCCCACAGTTAACCACAAAGTTGACAGTTTGAACCCACCAATCACTCCCTGGACACCCGATATAGGGTCACTATGAGTCAGAACGCAATTCAATTAACAACAACAACAATGAAGACAGGGTCAGAGATGACTAATCACTACAGAGAGGGACTTAGTGCATTTTAAATGTTTACTATCAATCACCAAGAGCATTAAAATAATACAGGCATTTTACTTTTATTACAAGTGTCATAACTAAAAGCTAACTTGTCATTACAAAGATAATGGTAAGTTCCTTTAACATATGCCCACAAGTGTGATCCTAAAAGCAGCTCTTTCCCTTGACTTGATCATCTGCAAATGCTGTGACTTTACACGATGTCTGACAGAGTCAGATCATCACTTTATGAGCTGTGGGCCCCTCAACAGGGTGGACACTAAAATGGTTATCACTCAAAAAGCCAGCCCAGTCCTGCTACTGAAGGCTCAGGACAGAATCCAGGAAGTGACTGGACGGCAGACGGTACGGACACGTTACCATGGCCAGACGGCAGCATCCAGAGGAAAACAAGAAGGCCTTCATTTCCTACAGGTGGTCAGACTAAGAAACTGCTACAAAGTGAGCCTGTCCCCAGCTATTCCAGTCAAAGATGTCTGACTGTCAACTTCCGCAAACTAACAAAAAAGATGGTAAGGGAATTCTTAGGAATCAGAATTTTTGTACTTGTCTTCAAACAAGGCTTCCTCTTAGGTACTAGAATTTTCAAATCCATACTAAACAATAAAGCCTGGCTGTAAAGAGTGACGTCTTTTACCTCAGCTCCTGATGGCTAGCTACTTTAGGAAAAAACATACTGATCCACAGAACTAATCAACAGTATAGAGTAAGCAGGAGTCTACACTTTCCCGCCAGGCTCCCACTGGTAGCTTCCAGCTTTCCAAGAGGCAGAAGAGCTTCCGCTCAGCCTGTTAACCTTGGTGAGAGGAGGGGTGAGGCAAGCAAATAAAGGAAAGTTACTTTAACAAAGGACAAAAGTCAGTAGAAGACACGAAGTCTCTAACGCAGAGCCTTTGCCTCCACTCTGTTTCTGGACTCATCCTTGTTGTGGTGATTTCTCCAGAGTTCAGCCTGTTCTTTTGAATTCTACCATATTAGGTTCTTAATCAGCCCAAAGAGGTAAAATTCCTTTTCCTGTGGAAAATTACAAAAGCTAGCAATACTGACATAAGAACTTTAGCAAGTGGCCTGAAATACTTTGTTGGTGGTGTCAGGTGCCACTGAGTTATACCTACAAGTGGTAAAGTCACCACAATTGGGCTCAGCAAAACTATTTGTTTTCTGATGGACCTGTATGTATTAGAATTGTAAACAGACTCAGGAAAACGTCGCCAAGTAGGTCACGAAATGAGCCCTAATAGTAGTGCTGCCTCCAATTTCTGTGACTTCTATAAAATCATGTCACTTCTTCAGGCCATGCCCAGTTTAATGAGGGGTTTATAGACTGATGGCACAATTGTTAAGCTCTCGGCTGCTAAGGTTGGCAGTTAAAACCCACCCATGGCCCTCAGAGTAAAATGGGAACAGCTCGACTTTGTAAAATGTGGGTGTACTGGAAAAATCATCAGAACAGGGAAAATTCTGGTGGCAGCCTTGACAAAAATGGGAGACTCAGGAGAGGCACAGTAAGGCATTTCAGGAGCCTGATGTTGGAGACGGGATTACTGCCAGGAACGTGGAGTGACGCACATTCAAAGTGAGGTGGTCAGCCACCACCTTTAAGCAGGTCACGGTTGTCTGGTTGTTTCTGCTCCTGCCAATCAAGAGATTTGGTTGCTATGCACTGTCGATGCTGCCCTGGTTTGATAAGCAGGTGATTCTGTTTTTAGCAGGATGTCAACCTGTATTTTTTCCTGTCCCAGTACACCCACAAATTACAAACCAAGAGTCCATTTGGATTTCATTTCATCAGCCATACCCGAACTGGATACAACTGGTTTGAAGCCCTACTTAGCCCATCATGCACCAAAAGTTATACAAACTTCATTTCTCTGGATTTGACATGGATTCCTAAGCTTTAGCAACAAAACATAAAGAGATAGTTTGTGGTATCAAGAGATAGTTCAGACATAATCTTCAGAGATTCAGAATTAGAGTCGGACATACTTTTTCAGTTCTTTCTGCAACATTCCTCCAGGTGTAGAAAGTCTTGACTATGTTGTGGATATCTGCTGGAGGCAGCAAAGTTCCTGACTTTAGTTGGGAAATAGCTTTTTCCAATCCTTCACACAAAGACTTGACTGAAGGCTCACATAAAATAATAAGACTTTCTGGAAGTACCTCAGGAATTCCACCAACCCTGGTACTTACAACCTTAAAAAGAAGAAAAAAGAACACATAATCCACTGGAATTCATATCTCGGGAAAATAAAACTAAAAAAAGAAACGTACTCTTGAATGATTATGATTATTTTTTGAAGATTCAAGTAAAGAAATGCCAACAACTGAAACCTTTAAGCTGTTTTACCTGTAAACCACAACTGGCCGCTTCCAGAATTGCCATGCAGAATGCTTCGGTAAGGGAAGTGTTAAGAAAAATATGTCCTTGAACTAAGACATTTCTAACGTTCTTGTGTTCTAAGGCTCCCAGGAGATGCACCCTAATTATTGAAATGAGAGAGGAAGAAAGAAGGGAGTGAAAAATCATGCTTCAAAAGAAGTGTATTATGTAAGTCAAGTTGGTTTTTCATATGATATACTGAAGTTCTTACTGGTTCTAAAGTTTTCAATCTCAAACAATTCTTATCTCCAAATTCTGACCTCAAAACAACAGCATTGGAGGAACGTGTAATAGGCACTGGACTGCAAACGTCAGTTTGAACCGCAATATGTGCTTCAAGCTCATCAGCCGCCTCTAGGAAAACCCTATGCAGAGTTGCCAAGGGCTGGAACTGACTCGAGAGCATTTAACAACAACAGCCAACAATTGAAATCACAACACAGAAGGGTCTGGAAATCTGCAAACGTTTCTAGTCAAAACTGCTGCTTCTTTGAGCTTCTCCCTTCACGTCTCCAACCCCTGCCTCCACCACCAGATATTATTGGACTTATGGGGGAAAGTAAAATGGTGAATTCTTTAACCATGTTTCCCAAATTTTCTATAAATAAAAACACATAAGCCATGCAATTACACTGGGGAGAAGCAGCACGTCTAAAGCAGGCATGGAGTCCAAAGGGAACACAGAAGGTCACTACTTCCTCCCCTACGACCACACGAAACCCATCAGTACCTGTCATGGAGCTGGTATCTTTCCCGCACTTCTTCCAAAATGATGCGCTTTGGTCCCTCTCCTCCAATTATGAAGTTTAAATCTGGGTATTTAAGACAGAGCTTAGGGATTATGCCACTAAGCAAATCAGTCCCTGAAAACAGAAAATAGACTGTTGGAGATATATTTAATGCTTTAAAAAAAAAAAAAAGCTTTAGAACTGACTCACTCTGAAAGGTAGTGGATGCACTCCTTAAAGCGGAGAAACGAACTCCCTGAGCTCGTTCCCAAGAGGGTGGATCCTGTTACATACATGGAGAGGTCCTGTCAGGACAGCAATTCCCGAGGCAGAACACCCTGACAGTCACTGCTCCCTCGCACACACCCACCACACTCTGTGTTACTGTTCCACAGCTCAGCATACTGGGAGCTTTCAGTGATTCACCTGCAATTTATATAGTGCTACTGAGCAGGAGAGCTGACTGGGGTTCTACCATCGGTCCCTGCTTTCTCATCAGTGAGTCCTTGGGTCATGGGAAAATTGTTTTCTGATCTGTAAAATGAGGAGACTGATGTACCTCAAGTCCAAAGTCTCTTTCAGCAACATAATTCCACCAGTCTATGATTCCGCTTTCTGCCAGAACCAAAGACTAAGCAACAAAGAATAATTGCTGCCTCTAGTTTGTTCAAACTGTAGAGAATTTTGCAGTGAAACCAATAATGCTGGCAAAGTCAAAGACTGGCCCTTCCCACCCAAAGGTCCACGTACAGGGCCTCTTTTCGTTTCCAAGGGGATCTGACTTTGTAACATTAATTAATAAGAGACAGTCTCCAGTAACTGTTGTGACTTTTTTAGTCACTCTTAAAACATCCAAACATTTAAGAGGGTGTGGTGGCTCTGTAGGATAAGCACTGGACTGCGAACCATAAGGTAGGCAACTAGTTTGGGGACACCAGCCACTCTGAGGGAGAAAGATGAGGCTTTCTGCTTCCTCAAAGCTTTACAGCCTTGGAAACCTTATACAGGGTTGTTGCTATGAGTCGGAACCGATTCCCCGGCACACAGCATCAACAGCATTAAAGGTTAAAGAAGGGCAGCATTCGGCACTGCTCCAACAAATGTCTTCCTGGAGGCTTTTCTTGCTACATTTCATACAGAGTTATTCAGGAAACAAAAAGACAAGCCAAACAATCAGTATTCACAAGTATTCCACAGCCTTCCCACAGGGGGACAGGAAAGGTCGGTGCACCGCAATCATAGCTACTTCGTTTCATGCATTACCTTTCCTGTAAACCAGTCGGCTGACCACGATGATGGTCACGACGTCATCATGCCTTTGAAACGGGTCTGGGGTGAAATCAGTCGGGTCTACAGCATTCGGAATGACGGACACTATTTCGGGGTTCAGCGTGGCTCTGAGTACCGTGTTTTCCTTACTCGTGTAGGAGACACAGATGATATGGTTCGTGTCGCAGAGAGACACGGTTAGAAGCTTGTTGGTTAGCACCGAGCTGACATCAGCGAATCCAAACAGGGAGTGGTCTGTGAAGACGGTCTGGAGCCCCATGGTCTTGCCATGGAAGAGGGCATCATGGGCCATGGCAGAAAACGAGCTATGCGAATGGATGATCGTGACCTTCTCCCGCACAAATATGTACCTGAGCAACGGCAGACTGTGGAAGAGGGTCGTGGCTGTCGACTGGTTGTACATGACTTTCAGAGGCAAATAATAGACTTTGAGGCCATTTGTGAGGTAACGGACGCCTTTCCGGTTTCCATAAGCATGGGTGACAATGATGATCTTGTGCCCTCGTTCAATCAGGCACTGAGAGAGCTGGTAAATGTGGCTTTCCACGCCTCCCATGTTGGGGTAGAAAAAGTCAGACACCATGCATACTGTATGGCTTTGAGTGCTGGACAGGGAACATTCGGCAGGGCTGGCGCAGGTGAGGGCAGCTGGGGGAGGCGGGTCAGGATCTTTCCCTCTAGCGGCCATCCTGACAACCCAGTCAAGACGTGTGGCGTCCACTACCTGCAAGAGAGTAAAGCGGCACCTTAGCTCAGGAAGCCCAATTTTCGCATCTAGATATAAATGCTGCTTTCAGAGTCGTGAAAATGTGCTCGCTGTACCCCTAGAAGCCAAAGTATGTGTGGGAACATCAGAAAGTTCATGGAAAAATGGAATGAAAAGGTGACGAAATTTTTCCATGAACTTTTTGAAGCCCCCTAACTGCTTTTACCTGACAACAGTGGATTTGTGAGCACTTACTACGTATGTGCCATACAGCAAAACTAGGTTCTTAATTTTGCTCTAAAATACTGCTAAACATAATTGATAAAATGAAGCTTGCTACAGTATAATGCACTGGACTGCAAGGTTGATTTGAACTGCAAAGTCAGCAGTTCAAACCCACCAGCCACTCCTCGGATACCCTATACAGGGTTGCTATCAGTCGGAATCGACTCAACGGCACATCACAGTAACAATACATCACAATAAAGTAACGGTGTACCAAGCTAACAAACCAGTCCATTCAAATAATTTAAAAAACACACACAGACACATTAATCACGATACCAGCTTGTATTTGTTGAATGGCCACTACACACTGGGTACTATGTGCTAAGAAGTTTCCAGATCTTACTACAGCATTGGCAAAACCTTAGGAAGTATTATCATCATCTAATACAAAGATGGCGTCCTGGTGTGGCGCTGTAGAAATAAGCACTTGACCATAAGGTCAGTTTGAACCACAAGGTCAGTGGTTCAAACCCACCAACCACTCCTTAGAAACCCTATACAGAGTTGCTATGAGTCGGAACCGACTTGAAGGCATGTAACAACAATAATAATACACAGAAAATCTAAACCTCAGAGAGGTTAAGGAATTTATCTGAGACCACTCAGTCTGTTTCATTAGTGCTTCATCTGCTGGTATTTTCCCCTTGTGCAGCCCACTCTGCCTATATATATGGACTTGGTTCACCCTACAGAATGGGGCACAAGTGATGTTATGTGAGTTCTCGGCCTCAACCTGAAAAAGCTCAGGGAGCTTCCACTTGTACACTTTTGGGGACCCTGAGCCAGCAATAGGAAGTCCAGCCAGCATGTAAGAGATCAGGTGGAAAGGTGGAAGCTGAGCCCATGGAGTTAGGGAGAGGCCTCGGCGATCCAATGTTCTTAGCCAGGCCTAGTCTCTAGCCAACTTGGCAGCTAAATGCAGCCCTGTTAGTGACCATTGCCAACACCAGTAGAACCACGGGGCTGAGCCTAGTAAGTTGCAGAATCATAAAAAATAACAAAATGGCTATTGTTTTAGCCCTTAACTTTTGGATGGTTTGTCCTATAGTAATGGATACCAGGCCAGGATTCAAACCAAGCTATACTGGACCACCACCTGGTTTTGTAAATCATGTCTGAGTTTGCCCATTCACACAATATCTATGTTTTGTTGCTGTTGTTGTTGTTGACTACAATAGCACAGTATAATAACAGAGACAATATGGCCCACTGAGACAAAAACATTTGCTATCGGGTCCAACATAGAGTATGTCTGCCGACTGCTCAAGTTTCTGGTCTACCTTCTCTGAGGAGTCTTCCACAGGAGATTGTTTTCCAGAGGGTAGGACACTGAGTGAGCAGCTGAAGTTAGAAGTGATGGAAAGGAACCCGCTGTAAGCCTACTCCCAAACAAACTTCCGATTTTCCGTCCCAAGATAAGTGCCCTTGTATATTTCTTCTCAAAAGGAGCCCAAAGATTGAGGCAGCTCTAAATTTCCTTCAAAGGAGCCCTGGTGGTCCAAAAAAGAATTACGTGTTCAGCTGCTAACCAAAGAGTTAGCATCTCAACACACCCGTGTTCTGAGGCAGAAAGACGTCTGCTTCCATAAAATTCTTGTTAAGTGTCATTGAATTGGTTCTGACTCATAGCTACCCTGTATAGCGTTTCCGAGGACCAGCTGGTGGATTTGAGCTGCAGACCTTTTGGTTCAAATCTACCATGAGGTCAAGTGCTTATCCTAGGGTGTCACACTAGGACTCCATAAACATTACAGCCTGAAAAATCCCGTGAAGCAGGTCTACTGATGCATGGGGTCCTCACAAGGTGGCATCTACTCATTGGCAAACAACAACTTCCTACAGGTGCCCCTACTGCTTAATCTACCCACAGTGACATGCACACAGGAGCACTAAATGCTCTGACTTCGGACTCCCCTCTATATTGTAAAGGCTGCAAATATTTACAGATTGTATTCAGTGAATCATGTATACAATCAGTATTTATTTATACTACCAAATTCAGCACTGGACTGAAAACTACAAGGTATGTGGTTCGAGCCCAGCAACTGCTCTGTTGATGAAAGAAGATGGTTTCTGCTCCTGAAAGATTTAAAAGTCTGCAAACCCTATACAAGGTTGCTATGAGTTGGAACTGACTAGAAGACACTTAACACCTGAGAGGGTTTGTTTTTGTTAAGTACCCTGGAGTCGTTTCCGACTCATAGTGACCCTGCACAGGGTAAATCTTTACGGGAGCAGAAAGCCTCATCTTTCTCCTGCGGGAACGGCTGGTAGTTTCAAACTGCCGACCTTGAGGTTAGCAGCCCAATTCATAATCACTACGCTACCAGAGCTCCTTACCTGAGAGGGTAAAGGGAAAAAAAAAATCACAAATACCCAAGATTCAATGGTATAAACTCTAGTCTACTTCTGCTGGTCCTGTCAACCTGGACTTGGCACTTTTCTGAGCACCATTTTCACTGTCGCTGTAGCAGGTTTAAAGGAAATCCACATTTTCTCCTTTTTTATTCCAGGATAACAAAACTCAACCGGCTCCCTCCATTTTTTTCCTCACTGCCTCTTTCAGTTTCCCTTTCTGTTTTTCCTCCAGGTGTGTCCTTCACCTGGGTTTGGAAAACTGAAGGTTAAGAGTCAACTCAAAACGGGCGGGCTCCAGGGCCATTTGGCACTGCAGGATAATGCGCTGGACCACAAGGTCAGATTGAGCTGCAAGGTCAGCAGTTCAAACCCACCAGCCACTCCTCGGAAAACAGGGCCACCAAGAGTCAGAAGCCACTTGATGGCACTTAACAACCACAAAGTAGGAAACGTGTCTCTCAGGGTTGCCCATGATCCCCACCAAACTTACGAGGGGGCATCCAAAGGCTCTTGGGAAAATCTCATGATCACTCAATTACATTTTTCCACGAACGTTTTGAAGTCCCCCTCAGACAGCATTATTACAGATTCTCAGAGGCTGGGCAAGCCAGTGACAAGATCTAGTGATAATAGTCCTCAACTTTGCAAATGGCAAGTCCCCAGCCCCATACAATGGGCATTCGTGCCAATCCCTTGCAAGGATTCATGCCAACACCTGGCTTTTCCATTTTAACTACTTCTTCAGAAACAGGCCACTGTAGAACTGGCTTTACTCATGAAATGTCAATACGAACAAACTGACTATTGCCCTATTCAAATTATTCAAGCTTATACTTGTCAGTGGCTCAACTAACATTTTCTTCCTGGGGCTCATCACCTGAACTTGAACTTCCAGTTCTATTCAACTGAAAAAAACGATGAAGGATAATACAAACAGTGAGTCAAGAGCCAAATGAAATCCTTAAAACTGTTCTTGGCAACGTTCTACAACGAGTGGGCCTCATCACCCCTAACAACCGGGTGGCGAACGGAGACACGATCACAGAATCGTGGATTTTAAAGCTGGAGATCTAGACCTAAACTCCCCTACTTTATATCTGTGGAGCCAGACAAATTGTGCAATGTGGCGAAAAGTCCCCATTCAACCACTTAGGTGGCAAATTCGACCAGGGCCATGGAGCTCCCGGGCGCAGACAGTAACAGCAAAGCTTCCGGAGCCATGGGAAGGCCCGGCGGGGTTGGGGTCAAGAGGACAGTCCTTGCACTGTGCCCTTGGGCGCGACCCGGGCATCACTCGCTGAGGGCTGTCTGGGTAGCATGAGGGCCGCGATTAAGTCGCTCCCACTCAGTCCCCGGCCACGGCGCGACCCGATTGGGATAGGCCTGAGGGAAGGAGGCAGGCCGGTCGCCAGCCTCCAAAGAACCGGTTTCAGCGCCGCCGCTTCTACCCACCTTCAACCCGGCTCAACACCTGAGACCCTTTAACCCGACTTCCTGGTCCAGTGCTGGGCCAGCTTCCCACTACCGGACGCGCACTTACCAGCGAACCCCATGGCCGCCAACGTCCGGACCTCCCGCGGCTGCAACTGGAGCCCCGCCCCAGCCAATCACAATGTAACGTTACGTCACCGCGCTGGCGAGTACGCCAAGACGTTCCGGAAGACCTACTTTCTCTGCATTGAAAGCAGTACCCCTCAGTTTAACTTTTAAATAAATTTCTGGCTTCTCGAGCTCCTCGGAAACAGCCCGGTTGTCTTAAAGAGACAGCCGACCAGGAATTTTCCTTTTGCAGGGTTATGTTAGAACTCCCAGCCTGCCTCGCAGCGGCTCTCTAGCACTGCCGGGAGTTGTAGTTTAATGAGCTTTGCTTAGCGGCGAATCCTCACTTAGAGAACTACCATTCCCAAGATGCATCGCACTCGTCACCAGAAAGCTGCGAAAGGTCTGGTGAGTCAGCTGCACGGTTACCTAGTTACAGCGTCTCTTTTCAGGAAACCTGAGTGCTCTAGACTTGCTTCAGGCGTGAGAAATTTTTTACGTGGGAAAACAACAGAAAGCCAGGGTTGTGGGTTGTTTTGTTGTTGAATACCTGTGCCGTAGTACAACCGTGCTGCATTTTAGCATCGTGGTCGGATTGCCCGGATTAGGAAATAAAACTACACGAATAAAAATAAATAAATAAATAAAGCAAATAATCTGACATTTGAATTTCAGATAAGTAAAAAAACAACAATTGCAATCTAATTATGTCCCAAATATGTAATGGGGCATGCTTTACAAATTATTCCTTGTTTATCTGAAATTCGAATTTAACTGAATGTCTTGTACTCTATTTA